TGTTGATAAAAATTCTGAACACCATTCTCAGAACAGTTTCTGTACAAGATTTACAGATGTCTACTGCATGCCGTTTTTTCCTCAGTGTGCTACAGAGTTTAGAGGTTCTGCTCGAATATTCCCCAAGTCAAGTGCAGAATCTGTCTCTTCATCAATTTCTCCAATGACTGCACTGTAATTAATTATGAAAAAAAGTCAACAGTTAAAACAAACACACTTCTGAAATAAATTCATATGAATTTCTAAAATCTTATAAATCAAATCAAAGCGCTTAGTTCCATTCTTCCAAAACATGTAAAACTGAGAAGGCACAGTAAAAAGAACTACTTAAGGCAGAAAGTAAGAATTTTCATCACCTGGTGAATTATACATGTAAGTCACAAATCTTTTACAAATGGGAAAGGGACCAAAAATTGGAGGGAGGAGAAGAAGAAGGAAGGGGAATGAAAGGGGATGTAAAAAGAATTAAAGAATTAAAGATGTATTATGTTACATGTACCACTCCCCATGATGAATGTCATCATTATGTAATGCAAACATGTACTAATAAAAATTAAAACTGAAAAAAAAAAAATCTCAAGGAGAAATAATTTGTAGGTAACTCTATTAGAGCAACCAATGTTAAAGGAATGCTGGTAAATGTTTAAAAACCAGTTCTCTGCAGAAAAAGAAAGAGATTGATTTGTAACATTTACTAATATAGTATCATTCAGGCAAATATTCCTACCTTGGACAATTTCAAAGTATTAATAAGACAGCTAACAATTAGCCTGCAAAATTCCAGAAAATATAACTATCTGCTTTCATGAGCCAGTGCAAGGTGGCTCTATCACACTACTGCATGTAAGATTAAAGTTTAATTTTTTTAAAATTAAGGTAGGATAAACATTCTTAAAATCAACTGTTACACACAATCTCAATATAAAAGATCAGTGTTGTCCTGGTTAGGGGACTTGTGCCCAATGAGTTCTCTCAGTCTTTATAGCTCACCTTGTAATTTTAGCTAAAAATTATTCTATGGAATATTTTATAAACCCAATTTTGATTACAGATCAAATAATAACCAAAATTGCTAATGTATCTTTTGTTGCATTCCAGTCATATTTTAATTCTATCACTAGAAAATGAATTCAACATTCTAGCCAGCACTATAATAATACTAGCCACATGTAACTATTAATAATTAAACTGATTAATATTTATATTTATAAATATTTATAATATTCAGTCATGCCAGTCCCTTTTTGAATACTCAATAGTCACAAATGGGTAGTATTGAAAAATATCAATATACAACATTTCTATCATCAGAAACATTTCTGCTCCATATGGTTGCATGCTTTCCTTAAAACATGCTACCTCTAAAACATTCTCAAACTAAATTCTCAGTGTCCTAAAGTAATTAACACCACAGGATAAATATAGGGATATAGTAAACATTTCAATTACACTAAAGAAAAAAAATCATGAATTCTTAATAAGCATATTTATTTAAAATTGCTTAAACAGGAGATTTGCTTAAACAGGAGATTTCAACCATTTTTCAAACTCTCGCCTTGGCCCCTAGGAGTGTATTTATGTTCCTGTGAAATGCAGACTAGTTGTCTATGGTCACACAATCTGAACACACTCGATGTGTCAGAAATGCAGGCTAGTTAGAACATTTTTAGAAGCCTCAGAAATAAGGTATTTAGTGTAAGGCAAGGCCCTTTCTTGGACCCTAGCCACTACTAGCAAGATGGACAAATCTCAGCAGGTAAAAGTTTAATTTGAAAATAAATCATTTTGTTTGCTCCTGAACAATCTTAATATAAAATTTACAGATTTTCCTTACTTTAAGAAAACATAAGAACAGTCACACAAAATAAATGAATGCATGCTTCTGTTAACTGTACATGAATGATATAGTATGATATTTTGGGGAAAATCTCTTCCTCCATAAAGTAGAAAAGTACACCTGTAGTATAATTTTAACCTAACTTAAAAGACATATTTTACTTACACATTGTCACCTCTTACGATGTATAATCCTAGTACCACTTGTTCAACTCCCTGTGAAGAGCTGAATACTCGTTCATGGCTTTCATCCAAAATCAA